GAGGGATGCTTATTCCTCAGCAACCCACCTGCTTTACCTTTATCTTACAATTTGTGATGATACAAATGCCTGCTACGATGCAAATTTCAGATACTCTGCTTTAGGGAAGGGGAAACCAGTGGTGCAACTATCATGAGAGCCATAAAGCACATTCTGCCCATGAACACATTACGTATTCTTTACTTTGAAGTTTTGTAAAAAGCTACTGTTTTAGGTTTGACCAAATTACAAACGTGAACAGGAGAGGAGTGTAGTTCAAGGAAAAATGAGTGCCTAAGACAAGACGGTACTAAGCTTATACATGATTTGGGGAAATTATCGTTTTGAATAAAAACCACATCCAAGAACACTAGCTAATGTCTCGTCACCTTGACGAAAGGTCTAGCAACTGGACAAGTCTTTCTAGAACATTCCTACTTAGCACCTTTTCTTCAGGTTCCCCCATCTTGGCTACCTGAGATGACTTTTGTTTTTTGGTCTTAGGGAAAGGAAAAAAAACAAACAAAAAAGATGTTGATACAGTGGGTGTAAATCCCATGCCATCTGGTTATGATGCTAACAGTTCTCACCTCGGTCACACCGGGATTTACAAAGCAATTTTTAGCATGAAGTCGCTTCCTCCTCTATTACCTGCTGTTTGGCCTCTCACATTCTCCTTTTCACATCCCAAAGGCTATGTTGTTCTAAGTGGATGGCTGTGTCCAGGGCTGTCATTGCCAGAAGAGTATGCATAGGAGCTGAGACCAAAGTTGTTGGCTTATGAGGCACTGGGAAACACTAAGGACCATTCTTTATTCAGAGTGAATCTCAGCAGCCATCCTTGGACAAAAACCAATTCCATTATCATGTGTGTCTTCAATAACCTGATTCACTTACGAATCCCTATCTAATTAGTATCTATCACGCAGGGCCCACACACTAGTCTTGTGTCCTTATTTACACGCGGTAATTTTTCTTGTGCACCTTGATTTCTAACGATCTTGTAGTGATGTCACCAACTGTGCGGTAATTACACAAATTCCCAGATTTCCACACTACTGGTAATTCGATTAATAATTAAGCTACAGAGAATCTGTGCCTGGTACCTTATTTTAGGCTTGTCAATTTCTGGTTTCCAGCTAATTTTCAAGAGGATGCTAATTCCTTTTGCGTTAGAGAGGTGCTGGATTATTCTGCAGGGAAGACAATGAAAAGGAAGAGGCAGAAAATGTCACAGAATGAGTGGGAGACAAGACTGCTCTCCAATGACAACAACCTGTGTTGCTTAGGAGTCATTGGGACTCCCAGGAAACATTTCTAATTGTCACCCATCATGAAACAATTTTTCTATTTTACAGCATCAAATAAATGGCGACTGCTCTTAAGCAAAGCAGCCCCAGGTTGCTGCTACTTCCTTATAAATAATCTGCATAGACAAGTTAGTTAAGGGAGTATGGATAACATAGGCAGTTTTCATGCTTGGGACTTCTATATAGGCTCTTTCCTTGCCCGTCCCCCTTGTCACTTATCAGTTCCCTCCCATACTTTTAATTAAAAGAATCTCCTAGCAGATGATTTATTTCTGCCAGCACACTGCTTAGCATCTAAGTAACACTCAATAAATAGAAGGCATTATTATTATTATTTGCTATTATCATTATTATTTTGCCCTTGTGTCTACTCTGTGACTTTGTTCAAAAATTTGCTGGATGAATGACACATGATGGTGTCTTCAATAATCAGAAAATAATCAAAAACAAAATTAAAAATTTCCAACCACTGAGAAGGGACGAAGTAGAACTGGAGAAACGTGACAAAGTGAATAAAAGAAATACAGTGGTGAAGATAGAGAAGGACAGGTCATGTCCTGCAGGGATGGTGGGACTTTGTGAGAAGAGGACAAAACGGATCACAGCATGGGTTGGGAGTGCCACATATCGCATGTACCAATAAACCCTGCAGTCACGGCTTCACCTGCTCTGTGACCCACATCCTCCACTGATTTAAAAGTTCTTCAGTCAACAAGGGGTTGAAGCAGGGTTGGTGCCAGCTGCTGTGGTCAGAGTTCACTGTGATCTGTCAGTGTCTGCACCTGTTTGCTTGGCATCCAGGGCATACTGGCTGTTAAATGCTTCTACCTCCAGAAACAGAGTTTGCAGTGCATTCTCAAAAAGCATTTATAACTGGTCAAATCTAAAAAGGATTCCTTTATTCACTTCATGAATGTGTTCATTTGTTCAACTGATATTTACCGACTGCTTGTTACAAATCAGCTTTGTGCTGGGCACTTGGGTGCAGAGCAAACAGGGACCTAGGCTCTATCCTCAAGAAGCTCCCAAGCCAAGGAGTCAGGGCAGAGGATGTAAATTGTGACTCTCTCTAGGTAGACTTGGATCAATGAGAATCATATCTTCAGCATCTCAGCCTGATGTTCTGGCCCTGATCATTTTCTTGCACAATCTAGCACTAAGGAAAGGATGCTTTTGTTCAGTTATTTGCTCTCCGGTGCATGCACCATGTTCTTAAAAGCTAACGTGCCATATCTGGGGAGATTTCTTCCCTTCTTCACCTATAATTCTACTTGACTTCCATGGTCAACCCATACTATGAGCTTTAAAAATGAAAAGAGAACTATATGAAGTCCCCAAGGGCAGAGGTAGATCAGGATGTCATTACTTAGGAAAGCTGTGATTGGCCAACAGTTCTCCAATTTCATGAGAATAGAAAAGATTAATCTTTTGGAACATGTTTTATCTGACAGCTTTTTAAGCATTCTCACTGTGTGCATGTCCAGTCAACTAAAAGGTCCAGTGAATAAATCTAATCATAAAAATGTTTAAAGAAGATCCCTTAGTCAGACTCTTAAATTGGATCAACATTTTCAAAACTCATCATAGACAAGACTGTCCAGCTATTATTTTGTGTTGATTTATAAAATATTAGTTATTTTGATGCCTCCTACTAGGTGTAGTTCTAACCATTATTAGTTTCTATCTAATATATCACTCCTTCTTTTTTTCCCTCATAATAAAAACCCTTCTTTTCTTTTGGAAACTCCATCTTTCTCATCCCAGTGCTTGTCTATAGATGGAGCTGACTCTGGTCCTTTGCTGCAGGGAAAACCTCATAAGCAAAGCTGATCCAATTAAAATCAGGAGCCACTAAGCAACAGGTCCATTAGGATCTTTAGGATTAAGGACCATAAGAGCCTGGAGTTGCCAGGGGCCACCTGTGCCACCAAAGGAGTCCACAAGACAGTGTAATCAATAAGGAGGGAAGCAGAGCCAAGAAACACCAAGAAAGACCAGTTGCTTATGAAATTGGTTGAACCACTGAGTCCAGTAGATAGGGTTCTCAGGGAGCAAATATTAGAGTTTAGAATCAAAGATTTTATCAATGATCATGATCAAAACCTGTGAAAGCAAGGAGGCAGAAGCAGGATTTGAGACAAAAAAGAAGTCAAAATGTGATGTGATCCAACAAAGCCTTGGTCATCCTGGCAGGAAGCTCTGGACTGAGTACTGTCCACCAGAACTGTCTAGTGTTGGAGAAAAAGGGCTGGCCCCTTATGTCACCACCTTGCTCAGTCACCAGATGTGGGCAGCCCTGGAAGGGTAAGACCACAGGCAAGTGGCTCTCTGCAGCCAAGGCAGATGGGGAAGGAGCTGGGGGCTGCAGGCCACCTTCTGACCCCGTACCCACAGTGAGGCGGCGAGTCCCCCTGGGTGGCACATCTCTGTGTCCACCATACAGCTCTACTAGAAACCACATGATCACCCCAGCTATGTGAGCCTAGAAACTCCCTGTTTTCTTCAAGCCAGTTTGAGCTCAGTTATTTTTATTTCTAATCAAGAGAGTCTATGGTTCCCTTCAAAGTGAAAGTTCCTCTGGAGCTTTAAGATTTCAGCAACACATACACTATTGAAGTAGACTGGGGATCCCAATTTACACCCATACCCACCAGCACGAGGGCAATCATGGCTGATGATCCAGTCCCAGAACTGCAGTGTGCAGCTGGCTCAGACATTCCAAGTGATCAGATACTGAAGATGGGAAATGTTGATTTTACTGGGCTGAGGGCTTTGTGATTAAAACTACCAAGTCTCTGGGGGAAAAGGATTCTGGTTTGTCCAGAGAACAAATAAAGTCCAGCACATTTTCATCTGAATAAACTTTACTATGGTGGGAAGAAAACTCAGTTTCGCCTCTGGTCAGAAGGATCCTCTCTAACCTACTTATCTCTCAGTAATTCTCATCCTTTCCATAACAAAATGATTTTGCTTCTCTGAGAACAGTGATTCGTACACTAATAACACCGCTCTTTGTTCCTACAAGTGACGAAGTTCACAATACTGAGCATGAGAGGAAAATCAAACAAGCACTCCAGGCTCTTCCTGGGGAGTGGCGCTTATTAAATTATTTTCATGTGTGCTGAAGTTCATTTTCACTCTTGGTAGCTATTTTGTTAAGCTTCTGAATTTCCAGCCATATTTTAATTTATACCAATGAGGCACAAAATTTGCAATTCCAACAACTCAATAAAAATGATGGAATATACATACATATATCATTTTCAATATATATTATACATATATCAAGGGATCCAACAGCATATAGCAATAAGCATGTGTAAGATTGTATGTATGAGAGAGGGAGGGGGAGAGAGAGTGAGAGAGAAACCACAAAGACTCCATCCTATGTCATAGCCTACAACTAAATGATAAATGATAACAATGTAAGGATAAGGCATTGTTTAGCACCATTAGGTAATTGAAATGAACTTGAACTTGCCTGCCTTTAGAACCTTCCTTGTTGGAATGGGTAAATTATGTTTATATACTTCTCTGGATAGACAATTTTTTGTAGAGTTTCTCATATTGCAGCTCAGCTGACAGAATCCAATGCTAGGGTTATCAAGTTTCTCGGGGTAATTTATGGAAGCAATAACAGTATATATGCTGTGGCTCTTGCCCTGAAACTTATTTAATAAATACAAAAAGCCAAAAGAGAGCACTTTTTACCTCCAGAGTGTGGTGGGGGGCCGCAGAGCAGGACGACTCCCTGGCCTTCACGGACTGACACTGTACTTCTCATTTTGGTCTTAAAATTTTCAAGATCTGATTCAAAAACAAAACAAAACAGAATTTCAGAAAGGACCACACATTTAAAATGTTCACACAGAGATATTATTTTGTAGAACAATTTTCTTAAAATCCCTTCTCAAGAACTTCAGGGGGAGAATATTCAACATTTGTTTTGAGAAGGAAAAGTAGAATTTTGACTTCTTTATGAAGGCTTCTAGAAATTCAGCAATAGAATAAAAATACATACACACTAATCTGGTAAATTAAGTCTACATATTCTTTTTTATCTGTAGCTGTGAAAAAATACAAACTGCTTTTATTTTTGCCCCCCAAATTTTTTCAAGTGTTTAATAAAGTAATCAAGGCAAACACGATTTTGATCACCGATATTTACTTAAAAAAATTAATTTCTTCCAGTAACAATCCCAGGACAGCTAATTACAATTCACACTCTCCAGCTTAAATTATAGCATGGAGAAAATTCTATTGGCTTCATTTTGAACAAAGCTTAAGACTATGGGGAAAGAAAAAAGAAAAATCTACTGTTTCTCTGAACTTTGATTTAAAAAAAAATACTGTAAGTTCCATAGTTAAAATACTGAGTGGTGTCACTTTCCATATCAGAACAATTGCACTGTCAGTTTGTGAAAGGATATACTCATTTCATAGCTTTTAAGGGTTGATACAAATTGCCTGTAAAAAGCAAAGGCAGTATATGCATTTTAGAAGACAACTTGAAAAATTTCAAGTTTGCTTTGAAAAATGCAAAAACCAAAATCATCATCTTCAGATTCATAAAACTACAAACTGCAGACACAAGAACATTCTAAGCACCATAAATCAATACATCAGAGGGAAATAAGAAGGTCTACATGTTTCATTTTATAGTTACTGAAAAATAGTATTAAATTGTTAGGTTATAAGCATGGAGTAAAAGCAATTCAGCAAAACTCACATATGTGCAACTACAAAAGAAAAAAAGTTGTGCTTATTATTTTATCCACAAGTTACCCGACCAAAATGACACAACATAGCATTATATCATCTTAAATCTGTAACTAAAATGCAACATTATCAAAGCATGAAGGCCCTTGAAGGGCAACTGAGTAGGAACTGCAAACTATATCATCCAAATGTTTCCCAAAGACTAAATGGAGGAGTACATTATATCAGAATGCAGCCCATCCATGGAAAAATTAATTTGAAATTAGTATTTTTTGACAACAAAATACGTATCATAATTACTGATTTCCTATCCAATTCATTGTTTTCTTCCATTACATAACTTAACACCATAGAAGATACTCATCATTGATTTTACCTAGAACATGCAAAAAAAGGATAAAAATAATTTCTAAGGAAACTAATAATGTCTCCTCCCTCCCAAAGATGCAAATCTCTTTTGTCCAAACACTAATATTGTCGGTCACAGGTCTGCCCACTGCTCGAGACACTTGCATTGATACTGTCTCTACAGTACATTAAGGGCAAGGAACATTCTTTTTTGGATATATGATGTGGCCAGTTTGTAGAGCATACGAATCAGGAATAGCAAAGAAAAATCACTGTAGTGGACGTAAGTGTTTTTCAGGGCTTTTTCTGTTGAACACTAAGGACAACAGAGATGAAAGTAGTATCAATATCTAAAAAGTTTCAGATTACCGACATACCCTTGCAGATTATATATGTAACCCAAATTCAAGTCAACACTGCACATGGTCCAATCTTGGCAAGAACTATATTAGAACAAGCCCTGTTTAGGAGTCAAAATAATTAAGAAGTCATTCCAGGTATTATTTGGTAGAAACTTCTCAGATTTTTCTTTCTGTCTCCTCTCTAATTCTTGCAAGCTCTGATATTATTCTGGAACCTCTAATTAGTCAGACGTTAGGAAAAAAAAAACAATGTGATAAAGAGCATCTACAAAGAACTACAACTAGTATCATTTGATGGTGAAAGATTGACTGCATCCCCCCAACATCAGGAATACAGCGATGTTCATTCTTGCCACTGGTACTCAACATCACAACAGAAGTTCTAATCACTGCAATAATGAAAGAAAACAAAATAAGAAGCATACAGTTCTGAAAGGAAGAAAATAAGACTACCCAGATCATTGTTTGCCGATGATATGATGGTTTAAATAGAAAATCAGAGAGAATCTACAAAAAACAAAAAGCAAACAAAAGAACTTCCACTACAAAGTGAGTTAAAAAGGTCACAGGATACAATTCCTAGATAGCAACAAAACATGCAGAAACCAAAATTAAAAACACAAAAGGGGAGGTGCCAGGATGGCGGAGTAGAGACACAGCTCGCCCTCTCCCACAAGTACACCAAGAATTACATCTACAAACCCACTGAATTGCACAGAACACCTACTGAACTCTGGCAGCGTGTCTCTTGCTTCAAAATGCAGGAGGGTCCTCACAAAACCCGGTAAGAGAAAAAAAAGAAAGAAAGAAAGAAAGAAAAAAGAAAAAATCGGTGGGGGATTGGTCCTGCAGGGAGAGAGCAGCGGGTTTTTTGTTCTGTTTCGTTTTTTGGTTTTTTGTAGATACAGACAGGCTTATCCTAAAATTTATAAATAAAAGCACAGACCCTAGAATAGCTAAGATAATCTTGACTAAGAAGAAAAAAGTGGGAGAATCACTCTGCCTAATATTAAGGCTTATTATATAGTCACAGTGAGTGAGACAGCATGGGACTGGCAGAAGGACATACACAGAGATCAATGGAACAAAACAGAGAACCCAGAAACAGCCCCACACAAAAATGCTCAACTGGTTTTTGACAGATGTGCAAAAAGCAATTCAATAGAAGAAAGACAGTCTTTCAAGAAATGGTACTAGAGCAGTTGGGCAACCATAGGCAAAAAAAAAAAAAAAGGAACCCTGTCCTCAACCTCATTCCTATATGAAAATTAACTCAAAAATGGATCATGAACTTATGTGCAAAACATAAAAATAAAGAAATATTATAGAACTTTAAGAGAAAAAGATAGGAGCACATCTTTGGGATCTAGGGTTAGGCAAAAAGTTATTAGGCTTAACAATAATAATTGGACCTCATCAAAATTTAAAACTTTTGCCTTATGAAAGTCCATGGAAGACAATGTAAAGACAGGCAACAGATCAGGAGAAAATATTTTCAACCCACATACCCAGTAAAGGAAGATAATCTGGAATAAATACTCTCAAAACTCAATAGTAAAAACCAAAACTATCCATTTTGAAATTGGGCAAAAAAACAAACAAACAAAAAACAGGCATTTCATTTAAGAAGATACAGAGATGGCAAATTAAGACATGAAAAGACGTTCAATGTCACTAGCCAATAGGGAAATGCAAATTAAAACTGCAACCAGGTATCACTGTACCCCCATTAGAGTAGTTTTTAAAGTAAAATACAGGGACAACACTAAAGCTGGGAAAGGAAGGATGTGGAGAAACAGGGTCACTCACACCTTGTTGGTGGCTGTGGGAGTGTACAGCATTTTACAGCCACTCTGGAAACCAGTTGGGCAGTTTCTTAAAAAGCTAAACACGTGAATACCACCTGACCCAGCAACTGCATGCTTGGGCATGCATCCCAGGGAAATGAAAACATATACTGTCAAGAAAACCTTACAAAAAGTCTGTATAGCTTTATTTGTAATAGCCCTGGACTGGGAACCACCAAGCTGTCCTTCAGTGGATGAACAGTTAACCAACAGTGGAGTTTATATACTGTTGAATGCCACTCAGCAATCAAAAGCAGTGGACTAGTGATACACCCCACAACCTGAGGAGACTGGAAATGATGCTACGTGAAAAAAGCAATCCTGGAAGCTTCCATGCTTCATGACTCCATGTATATAATAGATTTTAAATTACAGAATTTCAGAAATAGAGGATAGATAAATTAGTGGTTGCCAGTGTTTAGGGAAATTGGCAGCAGGCACAGAGGTGTGGTTATAAAAGGGCACTTGGAGGGGTCTTGACCATAGGGTGGATACATGTAATACACTTGTATAGAACTAAATACACACACACACACACACACACACACAAATAAGTACATATACAACTGGGGAAATCTGAATTAAAAAACAAAGATAAAATCCAGCTCTCCATACGCTTTTACTTTCCTTCCTCTTCCTCCACACCCCCTACAGGCAGGAAGTGACTCACCTCTACTGCCCTTCTGGCCACCAGCTATGCTGTGATCCTCTAAGATATCCCAGAACACTAGCCACATCTGGGGGACAGGATTTCCCAAAGTGACATCAAAGAGAGGTATAAAGAGCTAAGAGAGAAATACATTACTCATTCTGACTGTTTTCCCTGTGAACATAAACATGGACCATTCCTGGTGTATAAAACACTCTACCTTGACACTTGTCTGTTGATTTTCCATATTGGGCCAAGTTTCTATGTGCTGTTCAAGCACATCACTTTCAGGTATCAATATCTTAAAAGTCTCAGATTACTGAAATTTCCTGGCAGATTACGTATGTAACCCAAATCCAAGCATGTAACCCCACAGATGGGAAGGCTGTCCTTATAAGTAAACAAGAGTGCAGCACTATTACCTCCCCCGGGGGAAAAATGAGGACAAGAATGCAGCACTGCACACAGAGTAAAGAGACAGGAGACTGATCCCCTCTGATGCTCACGTGCTCAGTTGGGAATGTGATTCCACTGGCTACATATTGCTGGCATTGGTTTCTCCATGTGGATTGATCCAGGTAGGCTATCAAGCAGGGGGTGTGAAATGTCACACAGTACAGCTACTCTGTATGACTTAAAAGTCTACTCTGTATGACTTAAAATCAGCCAAAGAACGACTACTATTTCCCAACAAGTCAGTTTGGGAAACACTGTGTTAAGCTAAGCAAAGTGAGCATCTTTCTGTAGAATAGGCCAGAGACCCAAAATATAACACGTGCTGATAAGGTCTACTAAGGTGGGATGGATGTTCCAAAATGGCCTGAACATCTTTGACCAAAGAATTCTGTGTAGATCATTTTATAAGAAATGCTGGCAATGGGC